CGCCGCCCTTTACGCCGCCCGTTGCCCCCTCCTGCGCCCCCCCTTTTGGAAGGACCTGCCGGCCCGGTTGGTGGACGTGGGGTTCGGGGGTCGCTGGTGGGTCTTGGGGTCCCGCCTGCGCGACTGCGACATCAACGAGGAGGAGTTTTTGGGGCTCCCCCCACCCCTGAGGCGCCTGGACCCCCAAAATCTCCGCTCCCACCGCAACGAGGAGCTCTTCCTGGAGAAGTTCAAGCCCGTCCTCCTCAGCCCCGAGGAGATCCGGGGGGAGGGGGGGGACGGGGAGCACTGATTTGGGGGGCTCGTTAGCCCCCCCCGAGTTCTCGTTTGTAACCCCCTCTCTTCTTTAAATGGCATTTCTCATCCATCAACGTGGCCAAACTCGCATGGATTTAGCCCAAAGAACACACCACGGAGCGGGGGGAGGGGGGGGACGGGGAGCACTGATTTGGGGGGCTCGTTAGCCCCCCCCGAGTTCTCGTTTGTAACCCCCTCTCTTCTTTAAATGGCATTTCTCATCCATCAACGTGGCCAAACTCGCATGGATTTAGCCCAAAGAACACACCACGGAGCCATAAACGGGACTGGGGGGGGCGCATCCCGCTCGTTAGCGCCCTGAATCCTCGTTTGTAGCCCCTCATTTATTTAACTTTCCTTTATAATCCATTAACGTGGCCAAATTTTCATGGATTTACCCCAAAGAACACACCAAGGGTGACACCACGGAGCCATAAATGGGACCTGGCGGCATCTCCCACTCGTTAATGCCCCAAATCCTCGTTTGTAGCCCCTCATTTATTTAATTTTCCTTTATAATCCATTAACATGGCCAAATTCTCATGGATTTACCCCAAATCAGGAACCAGGATTTGCCAAAGGCCCCCCCAGGGAGCCATAAATAGAACCGGGTGGCATCTCCCGCTCGTTAGCGCCCCAAATCCTCGTTTGTAGCCCCTCATTTATTTAATTTTCCTTTAAAATCCATTAACGTGGCCAAATTCTCATGGATTTACCCCAAATCAGGAACCAGGACACACCAAGGGTGACACCACGGAGCCATAAACGGGACCGGGCGGCATCTCCCGCTCGTTAACGCCCCAAATCCTCGTTTGTAGCCCCTCATTTATTTAATTTTCCTTTAAAATCCATTAACGTGACCAAATCCTCATGGATTTACCCCAAATCAGGACCCAGGAAGTGCCGACGGCGAAGCTGGGAGCCCTAAATGAGACCTGAGGGCGCGTCCTGCTCGTTAACGCCCCAAATTAATGTTTGT